CTGTTTCATAATATAAAAATTTTAATTGTTGTAATTTTCACGAACACATTTTTCATGTGTTTTCAAAGCTTTGGTTTTTGAAGCTTTGGTTTTTGCCAGTAGCTTTCATACCTCTGGTGATTTTATTACGTTATTTAATAGAGGAGAGTCAAGCCTCTTGAACTGTTCTTCAACTTAGAAATTTATTAAACAATTTGATTTCTCAAGGGGGCAATACTGTTGGAAAAGATTATTATATACAAATTTCTGGGCCAATAGAAGATAGAGATGAGAAATATACTTCCCGAGGAAATTTATAGAAACTAAACTAAAACAAAAATCACTCTTTCTGATCTCTTAGTTGGTGAATATACCTTAGCTGTGGATGAAATCTTTGACTTACTTGAATTGAATCATTGCTGTTTAATCTCTTTTTTTTTTTTTTTTGAGACGGAGTCTCGCTCTGTCACCCAGGCTGGAGTGCAGTGGCCAGATCTCAGCTCACTGCAAGCTCTGCCTCCCGGATTCACGCCAGTCTCCTGCCTCAGCCTCCCAAGTAGCTGGGACTACAGGCGCTGCCACCACGCCCGGCTAGTTTTTGTATTTTTTTAGTAGAGATGGGGTTTCACTGTGTTAGCCAGGATGGTCTCGATCTCCTGACCTCGTGATCCGCCCGTCTCGGCCTCCCAAAGTGCTGGGATTACAGGCTTGAGCCACCGTGCCCGGCACTGTTTAATCTCATACTGATACTTTGCAGTACACTAAGAAGATGTTAATGGTTTACCAGTCTGAGCTCACATTGGATACTCAGTGGGTCATAGAGTTATGAAGGGCTATGTTGCCAAAATTGCAATCAATAAAGCATAGATTATGAATATATATGTCTGTTTGTGTGTGTGTGTATATATATATGAACTCTATATTGCTGACAATGAAATTACAGTTCTTGCTTTCTGGAATTGAAGAAATCATGAAAACCATAATTCAAGGGCCTGAGTTAGTTCAGATTTAGTTAAATAACCGTTTGTATTTGTTTTTTAAAATGCCTGGTTATTTAGTGACACTTTGTTAACTGTTAGTTGGGGTTCTCCAGAGAAACAGAGCCAATAAGGTGATAAAGCGTGTGTGTGTGTGTGTATGTGTGTGTGTGTGTTTGTGTGTGTGTGTGTGTGTGTGTAAAGAGATTTATTATAAGGAATTGGCTCACATGATTCTGGAGGCTAACAAGTCCCAAGATCTGCACTTGGTCAAGCTCGGGACCCAGGAAATTGGATGGAATGTTTGAGGCAGAAGGCCAGCAGAGTCAAGACTTAGGCAGAGGGGAGGTTTCAGTTCAAGTGCAAAGAAAGGAAAAAAGCCCATGTCTTAGTTTGAAGGCAGTCAGGTAGGACTTTCTTACTTTGAGAAAGGGTCAGCCTTTTTGTTCAATTCAGGCTTTCAACTAACTAATTGAATGAGGCCCACCCACAGTAGGGAGAGCAATCTGCTTTACCCAGTCTGTAGATGTCAATGTTAATCTCATCCAAAGACGCCCTCACTTACATAAACACTCAGAATAATGTTTGAGCAAATACCTGGGCACCTTGTGTCCCAGTCAAGTTGATGCACATAATTAACCATCACAATAACCAATTTTAAATTCATTCACATTTATTCAGTCAGGAAGCATCTTAGGCTTAGCTCTATGGATTGAGCAAGAAGGTCAGACATTTTGGTTATTCTAATGAAGTAGAAGATAAATGTCAGGTAACACTTAATAGAGACCAGAATAAAGTTTAATAAAATGAGGAAAACTACAAGTCTTAAGTAGTTGTATTCTTCACTATAGTATTTTTAATGTATATTGAAACTAACTATATGGAATTAAAATTCAGTTTCTTACTCTGAACTTTAAATTATTAAACAGCCATTAAGAAAACTATATACTTGTGTTTTAGTTTTATCCTTTTTACATTTTGTTTATATCACCATACGCATTCATTTGGAAGGTAGTAGAATAATAATAAAGTAATAAACACAGTGAAGAAGCAAAACAAATCATTAATCATTTGTAATTAAAAATTTTTAAAAATTAAAATGATTTAAGTATTCTGAATATGGTTCATATTGGAAATTACAGAAGTAGGAGTCTATTAAAGAAGCATACACATTTTCTTGAGTTAATATTCATCTTCTATTTTCTTCAAACTTGACCAATATGATATATCTCTTGCTTTTGGTTGCATGATAGTGACAAGGAAGCTACTTCACAGTTGATAGTCTTTTATGAAGGTATCTTTCTAAAAACCTATCTGTTTATGTTTCTTGGCTGGGGAAACAAAAGTTCTAAGAGATAAGGGAGAAAATCATTGCTACAAATAGCAAATATAGTTTTCCCTCTTTTACAGATTTCTTTTTCAGCAGTGAATTAGAAGTGGTGGGCTTTGGAGAGATTTGTTCTTAGTAAGTTAATATTTGACTTGCCAAGCCATTTGGGAACACAGAATTGCAATGATATCTTCTGGGCATCTCCCTGGTTTTGGTGACTAGGAAATATTCAAGACTGTGACTTAATGAAGAGAAGTTTATCTGTGTGATATTATCCTGACTGCTATGTAGGATTGATGTAAAATGCAATATTTTGGTGGATATTTTCTTTGAAGACACAAATCCAGTGTGAAAACCCTTTTTTATGAAAGGTTTATGGCACTTTCATAGTAGCAGAGCTTGTCTTGTTGATTTAGATCAAAATCATTTCCTCCCAACATCATAACCATTTTACTGTTCAGTGGTGCAGAAGGCATTATAAAGAGTTAGTGAATTGTTTTGGATCCTTCAGAATTAGATGACGAACTGAAAAGAAGAAAATATCACCAACAAAGATGATACTCTGGATAACTTCTTATTAAGGAAAAAAAAAATATTTCCATACTGAGAATGTAAGTGTTCTAATGATTTGAGCCTTGCAATAAACATCTAATACAAAACCAGATGTTCACAGTTCCACTTAGTCTTTCTTCATGCCTTCTCCACTTTGAAGTCTTACTGTTTTCTCTCTCAGCTTTTAGGAATGGGAAACAGGACTTCTCTTAATGTCTAATGAATATTTATGAAGTCCTTTGACAAGGGCTCATTAAAATTCACTTTAAAAGAAAGATAAAAACACTTTTAAGACCAAAGCACAGAAACTCACATCTCTCTTTCCTCCTTGTGAATTGTCAAGAGGAACACTCTACAAATGAATTAAGTGTCTCTTAAAAGTGATTCTAGGTAGGAGTTTGAATAATATAGATATATTTTATTATTATATGATGACTTTAATTTTGCATTGACTTTTGGCTTGTTTTTTTGTTTGTTTGTTTTCTGAAGATACTTGGAAATCCTGTTTTCGTATGGCATTTCGTAATGCTTAGATAAGGCTTTGGAGTCACTTTTTGTATTTAAATCTCAATTTCAGCTCTTTCTTAGCTCTGCGACTTTGAGCAAGTTCTTAGTGCCTCAGTTTCTGTTTTGCAATATGGAAAAGATAATACTACACATTCCACAAGCTCGTTGGAACAAGCAACTGAGTTAATACACAAAAAATACTTAGAATAGTGCCTGGAACGCTGGTTTTCTCTGCCTTGAGAAATCTTTCCTTTCAGTTCACACGCTTTGGCCCTGCTAGAGCCCCTTGGAAAGGCCTTTGTTTTCTCCTTACTGGGGGTGGAGGGGTGCACAGGAATAGTTAATGAATCCTCACTCTTGATGGGTAGCATTTTAGTTTTCTTCATTTTCATTTTTCATCATTGTCTTTTTTCTGAAGACCCCAAGGCCCTATGCTACCACTTCCAGCTACCTTGGACTGCAGCTGTTCTCCTGGTTCTAATATTATGTGAATAATATAAGGATGCCTAAATGTATATATTCAGTCACTTTCAAAAGCACATTCTTTTATGAATGAAAAATTACTAAAGTAAACAAAGTACTTTGAAGCTAGAGTAGTTATGCTGTTTTTGCTGCTACTCTAGGTAAATCACTGTTATTTAGTAATGGAAATTAAAAAAAAAAAAACCTGGACCTGAGTTTGGTAATGGAAATTAAAAAATACCTGGACCTGAAATCAGATAGAAAAGGTAGAAAAGTTACATGCCTGTGCATGATTATTTTAAATATGAAATAGAGGTATGTTTTGGGATGAGCAAAGAAGTAAAGCATCCATCTGCATATTTCTTTTTTCATGAGGCTTAACATTTGTAGAAGAAGCAGGCACTGACCTGGAAACCAAAAATTTGTAGTCTTGTTGGTAAATGTGTTCCTCTAAAGAACATCCCACCTATTCTTAAGTCATTTACCATCCTACTTTACACACTGTAGGTCATAAGATTAAATGTGTCTTTCCAAAGTGCTGATAGCTATTATTTAACTCAAACCTTATCTTTAAGACAAGCCTCATAAATTTAATAATAATTAGGCATAGTTTCCACTGGAAATTTTACTGTTTTCACCATCTGTTCTTCTCAGAGTCTGTATAAAAGGTATTGGATCTGTTTCATAGTAACTTAGTAAACATTCACTTCTAATAATTATTTTCTACTGGAAAGTGATTGCTGTACTTAAGATTTTTAGGCATTTAATAGTGAATCTATCGTTAGTCTGTTTTTTAGATGCATGATAGCAGTACTTTATTTTCACATGTTGTATGTAGATGATATATGAATAGTATTAGTAGTATGATACTAATGAAAGATAAGAATATAATCCTGTGTCATTTAATAGCCATTGTGTACTTGAGTGTTTATACCCAATTTTGATTGTTGTTTAACTTGCCTTTATAATTCTTACCCATATAGTCCTCAGTTTGGAGTAGAAAGACTTTATAGAACACAGTCAATTATTTCCATGCTTCCAAGTAGGCACTCAGATACAGTGGTACTATTTGGCCTGCTTTTTGATTTATATTACTGTAAGGCTTCTGTCTCTCAGCTCAGTAGCTCCAAAGCTTTCTTTCCCTTCCATCCAGCCACTCTCACAAGCCTGATGTCCGTTCTTTCTTTTTCTAGTTGGACTGAAGGATCAGACTTGTTAATTTGTCTAGTGCAAAGAGAGAAAGAAGAGAAGACCCAGGTATTGAACTATGAATATCCTGTAACTATAAAACAAGGCATATTTTTTGTGTAAATAGTAAAATGTACAGAAGGCATTTCAAAAATACTTTCTAAATTGTATTCAGTTAATAGGCTTATCTCTTCCCAAGAGTCCTAGCTTGACTTACAACCCTCATTTCATTGTTTATATAGTAAAATTTTAGGATGAACTGATGCTTTGATTGGAGGGATGAGCTTAATTTGTGCTCTGCAGGAATCCATTCCAACTTTAATAGTATTATACTTGAGATTGGTCTTATGCTATAGTTAGCTTGTCTTCTTTAGTTCATTATAATAACGTATGTATTTGCTAATGTAAAACTACTATGAAAAGTTATAATCTAGTCTTTAAAATTATTTTGTACTTAAAAATTTTAATGTCTTCAAAAATTTGCAAGACTAAAAATCAGAGTTGGATGCATATGTGAGCCAGTTAGCATCAAACAATGAAGTTCTTTGACGATTGTAGCTAATAGTAGTATATAAATTGCTCACATTTATATGAGGCAAACTGTTCTAGGTACTAAAAGCGTTTTACATATATAAGTATTATTATCATCTTCATTTTACAGATGAGGAAATGAAAATTCATGAAGGTTAAGTAAATTGTCTGAGGTCACACAGCTAATTATCCAAGTAATCAGTGGGGTGACTCATGTAAATAAATTATGCTACTTGCAATAAGAGGGAGATAGTTGGTAGGCCACAACATGTGTATGCAGCTAAGGTAGAGTAAAATACATAACACAGTAAAGTTCTGTGGAAACATCAAAAAAGAAACACAATCAGAATTATAAGCAAAAACATGGGAATACAAAAATCATGGTACATCTAATTAGAATAAGGTATGGATAGGGAGCAGACTATGGTAGAAGATGAAACTGGAACGAAAGGTTGAATCAGTTCATGAAGAACATTGAATGCCTTCCTAAGAAACTTAGAACTGTTAGAGATTTTTATTTGCTTTACTTTATTCGCTTTACAAGCATATGCACCTGTGTTGTTATCTTTAGAAGGCAGCAGTGCAAACACTAGATGAAAGAATTGGGAAGGAGATGAGAGTATTACAGTAACATTGATTAGGGACAGGTATAACAGCAGGAGAAAGGAAGGACTCCAGCCAATAGCTTGTATTTTGTGGTAAGGGAACGCAGAAGACGTAGGAAAATCTATCTTTCCTACTGGGGAAAAGAGAAATCAAATGTACATACGCCTGCTGATGGTGATGTAGTGTTATTACTATTATGGGGTGATTTGGTAAAGCAGTAATGTGGAGTAGTGAGCATCTTAGCTCCACCTTAAGACCATATAGGCCTCAGTCATTTAGACAAATGGGAATACTTGTGTCTATTTTGCCAGGCTCCATTAAGAGTTATGTGAAAACACATGAAATCTGTTAGAACAGTTTTCACCTAATGTAGGTGCTCAGTAGTTCTCCTTCTTTCATTGATGGATTATTTCAGGAATCATTATTTACTTGCTTGAGGCATACCAAGCACAAAGCACACAAGCACTTTGCTAATGGTTTGTTGACAAGGCACTTTCTACATAGAATTTTTAAATTGTCTTCATAAATTTTAAAGTGAATGTGATGTTTCCTATATATTATCTTCCTATTAAAAGATGGTAAATTAGAATTTAGTAAAGTTTTATAACTGGCTTTACATGATTATATATTATGGAAGAGCTGAGGTAAATGATTTAATGTATGCCAGTTTTAAAACCTAGTTAACACTCTGTGAAGACGTTATAGAATGTATGTGTGTCTGAATCTGTTTAACATACACATATATATTCATGTAAGTATCTTGCAAAATACAAGATGTAATGCAAATATAAAGTAGTGTTTAAAATATAGCTAATATCATCTAGCTTTGGGAATAGCTTATAAAGTGAATTGAATATGGCACACACAGCATACCATTTTATGATACATCTATGTAGTGCTTGGAAAGCCAGGCTGATATCGTGCACAAAGCAGCTGTAAATATGAGTCAGTAACATGGATATGCTTCACGTAGTATGTACTGTTCTCCAGTTTGGTTCTTTATGCAGTGACAGAGATACGTATCAGTACCAGCAGGAACCATGACTATGGAATTTCCACATTGTTGTCTTCTATGTAGTGAAATGATATAACAAAGTAGACAGTGACTTCAATTAGCTAAAATTTTAAAATATGAATTAGTACCAGTAGTTATTATTACCAGTGATAAATACTTGGAGGTCATCTATCATACTCTAGGAAGTAGTCTTGTGTGTGCATATTTTTAACTGGTGTATATTTTTTAATTGGTTCTAAATTCTGGTAGTGGCTTTATCTATATGCAATTGCAGTGAAACTTACATTCTTTTTATTGACCAGTTTTAACTCATGGATTTCTGATAAATGAATAGAACTAACATTTATTGGTCATTTACTGTATCTCAGGCGCTGGGCTCTGTACTAAGTGCTTTATGTCATACTTCATTTAATTTTAACACCAGCCATGTAAGAAGTAAACATTATTACCTCTGTTTACAAGATGAAGAAGTTGAAGTCTAGGGAAACTAATGAATTTGCTCAAAGCCATACAGCTAATTAGTCTAGCCCATGCACTTTCTTCTGTAAGGTGGTGTCAAGGTTACATTGGTACTAGATACTGTGTTCAGAACCTTCTCACACCCGTGTTCCCCTGTTTCACTCCTTATTTATCTAAAACATAATTTAAATGAAATGGCTCTGTCAAAAACTGTATTTCTTTCTTTTTTTCCTTACTATTTTTGAGACAGAGTCTTGCTCTGTTACCCAGGCTGGAGTGCAGTGGCGCAATCACAGCTCACTGCAGCCTCAACCTCTTGGGCTCCAGCGATCTTCCCATTTCAGCCTTCAGGGTAGCTGGGACCACAGGCGCATACCACCACACCTGGCTAATTTTTGTGTTTTTTGGTAGAGACAGGGATTTACCATGTTGCCCAGGCTAGTCTAGAGCCCCTGAACTCAAGTAATCTATCTGCCTTGGCCTCCCAAAGTGCTGGGATTACAGGCCTGAGCCACTGTGCCCAACCAAATTTTTGAAGACATTTAAATTTTAAGTATAAAATATTTTTAAAGACTGTATTTCTTGGGTTTGAAAATTATATGTCAGAAGGAAGCGGAAATGTAAGAAAAACCCAGCTGCATTTTCCCCTTTCATTTTCAATTTCAGAAAGCAGAAATTTTACCAAATGACAATCACAATAGAAAATACACACAACTGAGATAGGACAGAATCATAAATGTATATGAGGTAATGGTGTTTCTTTCTTTTGTCTTATTAGATGATCCATGAGGCCTTCGCAATAGGGAAGTTGTTCTACGTACCTCAAGAAAACTTTATCATGTGCCTGCCAGGTGCCTGACATGATTCTAGATGCTGAGGACATAGTAGTTAGCCAAAGGGACATAACTCTTGCTCTCATGCAGTTTATATTGTAATTTGGATATTCTAAATATTTCATGTAGAATGTGAAATAATACCATATTTAAGATATCACATAAGAAAGATACTTTCAGAACTTCTGTAATAATTTCATGTAGGAAAAGAAGGTCTCCTTAGTGTATCTCGTCTTTCAGACCTTTATATGTAATAACATGATTTTTCCTAATTTAGAATTAACAGTTTTCTCCAGCAGGTAAGAAAAACTGACTTGTGTTTGGAAATCAAGACCTAAGTTCAAATCAAGACATAAACAAACATAAAGTTAGGGAAAAGTTTGTCTCTCTCTATATATATGATCAGTTCTTCAGTGTTCAGGTGTGAAATGAAAAAAAAAATGCAGAAGAAACAATTCTGCCTATGATATCCTATAACCCAAAACAGGCAAAAATAGGCAAATCAAGGCAACCCCAAATAGGCAAACAAAAAGCAAAAATCAATGAAGACTGATTTGTTCCACATTTGAGAAACTTTTTATTTTTTAAATTACTTTTCTGAGAATGTGAACTTTCTGTATATGCTTATTTACTCCCATATTAATGATTCATTTCTTCTTTTCCCAAGTATTTCCCAATACTTCATAACTGGCTGAATCTAGGAGGTGCTAGGTTAAAAAATTAAGACTCAGGTACTTAATTGTGACACTTATAAATAAAAACATTTAAAGTACAAATGAAAAGCTCTGTTTAGATCTCAAGAGTTTCAAAATTGCATATTTTCTTAATTCTTTTCCTTTTAAAACAAATCATCTCTTATACTCACTCTGTTCTCTTCCATCACGGTAAAAATGCCTTAGCTTCTCTTAAAATATTTTATGTATGTGTGTGTATGATAAAGTCTTGCTCTGTCGCTCAGGATGGAGTACAGTAGTATGATCTCGGCTCACTGCAACCTCCACTTCCTGTGTTCAAGCGATTCACCTCCCTCAGCCTCCTGAGTAGCTGGGATTACAGGTGCCCACAACCACACCCAGCTAATTTTTGTATTCTTAGAAGAGATGGGGTTTCACCGTGTTGGCCAGGCTGGACTCAAACTCCTGATGTCAAGTGATTCACCAATCTTGGCCTCCTAAAGTGCTGGGATTACAGGCATGAGCCACCACACCTGGCCTAAAATATTTATACATTTTCTCTCTAATGCTAATGACTGGTTATTGGTCATCTGTTGTGTCAGTTTTCAAAGTATGATTTGCCAACATAGTAATATTAACATGTTTTATTAACATTTGCACGGATAATAGGTAATAATGGATAGAACCTTAGCACAAATCAAAGCAGGAACCAAACTATACTTGTATTCTTCACTCCAATATGCTCATAGTAAAAACAACCAACCAATCAAAAAAAACAAAAGGAAGCTTCATTTCAGAATATACTTAATGAAACAATAAAATGATTAATTTTATTAAATTTCAACCTCTCTGTAAATGTCTTTTGAATATTCTGTGTGACAAAATGTAAAGTATATATAATTTTTCGGCAACTGAGAGTCAATCGTTGTTGATATGGTTTGACTATGTCCCCACCCAAATCTCATCTCAAAATGTACTTCCCATAATCCCTGCGTCATGAGAAGGACCTAGTAGGAGGTAATTGAATAATGAGGACAGTGATGTTCATGATGTTCTTGTGATAGTGAGTTCTCATGAGATCTGATGATTTTATAAGGGGCTTTTCTGTCTTTTGCTCGGCACTTCTCCTTGCTGCTGCCATGTGAAGAAGGACGTGTTTGCTTCCCTTTCCACCATGATTGTAAGTTTTCTGAGGCCTCCTCAGCCATGCTCAACTGTGAGTCAGTTAAACCTCTTTCCTTTATAAATTACCCAGTCTCGGGTATGTCTTTATTAGCAGTGTGAGAACGGACTACTACAGGTGTCTTGAGATTTACTTCATGAAACAAAATTTTTACTAGAAACAATGACTGACAGAAAAACTATGGTTATTCAGACTTGGGTATTTGCAGACATATTCTCAAAAATGAATGAATTGAGCCTTCCAGTTCAAGGAAAACAGTTGACAATATTTATTGCTAATGATAAAACTCAAACTTTCAAGCAAAAGTTAGGATTTTGTGACGCTTGTATCCACATAACTGATCTGCATAACTGAGTGGACCAAACTTTTTTTCCCAGATGGCCAGTGCCTGTCGTTTCATATTCATGCATAGGTAAAAGATCAGTTTAAAATACAAGATGCACAGTAGGTTTTAATTTATCAGAATATGAAAATTTCATTGATAGGGTTTTGGAGCCTATATTGTAAGTTTTAAGAAACTCCCTGTTGTTCAGTTATAGTGTATATTAAAGAATAACCACTCATATGAAAAGGCTATTAAAATAGCCTCCTTTCTAACTGCGTATCTGTGTGGGACCAATTATTCTTAATATGTGAATCACAACAACATGTTGTTACAGATTGAGTGCAAAAGCAAACATCTAGTTTCTTCTATTAAATTAGACATTAAAGAGATTTGCAAAAACGTAGAGCAATGCCACTGTTTTCTTGAAAATATGTTTAAATATAATGAATTTATTATTTTTAAAATGAATTACACATTTTTTTAACTATTCAGTTTTTTTTCACATAGTAAATACTGAAAACTGTATCCAGATACATAGAAAATTTGGTATCCTCAGTCATTTTTAACAATGTAAAAGGGTCCCAAGAAGAAAGTATTTGAGAACTGCTGTCTAGAGGAATCACTGCTTTTAAAAGTCGCAGAGTGCAGAGCTTTACTTCCTTCCACTTTGTCTGCTGCTCAGTAGTTTGTACTCAGGCAAATAACCTCTTCCAGCTCTAGTCCCCTCATCATTTGTAAAATGAGAGGAGTAACACTTACCTGGCAGAGTATTTTGAGGACTACATTAAACAAGATTTATAAACCTGTAATAGGGGATAGATAAATGATTACATCTCATTTAATCTCCCAAACTCCGTGAAGTGTAAGTATTGTTGCTGTGAAGTGTTTGAGACCAAAGGAAATTAAGAACTTGCTTAAGGTCACAAACTAGTAAATGGCAGTCAGATCTGGAATCCTTGTTTTATTCATGGAATATTCAGTACCCTTTTTTCATGCTATAGATTTGAAAAAAGAGTACATGTAGGCAAAGTAGAAGTTACATAGAATCACAATATATTTGAAGTACAAGAGAGGTTAGAGAATTTATCTTCCTACAACCTCATTTTATTGATAAGGTAACTCAGGGCACGCAGGTACAACAGTGTGAACCCTAACTTGCTTTGAAGCTGGCAGTATTTTTAACATAATCATCTCATTCCTGTTAAGCATTCTTCTTTTTTATTTTTTGCTTGACCACACCAAAAGAATTCAGACCTCTTTGGCAAGAACTGTCCTTATCTGTTCCACAAAGATGCCAATGATAACAAAAAACAGATTATAAAGAAACAGAAAGATTATGGTGAATATAATCATGGTAAATAACTATAATCTTCTACAGCTATAGGCTGATTTTTGTTGTAGAAGCGAAAAGAAAAATTTACAATGTTTTTCAAACCTTAGAATCTCAAGAGTTAGAAGTTTAACTGAAGTGATGGAAAAAGGGAGTGTGTGTGTTAGAGGGGAAAGGGAGAGACTTACTACTGTAATAAAAAAGTGAAAGGAACTGGAAATATTTGGAACAGGAAAGTGCATGATATTCAGGGTCAGATAACTCATCTCCTCAGAGCAGCCTAATAAGATTTCAGGATAACACACTATTTTTTGGTGGTTCTTGATATTATACTATGCATGCAGATGCTTCACCTTCAACCCAAAGATACCTTATGGAGGATGGAATTAAGGGTTTGGTTCACCACTCTGTAACCACTCCATAAAGCATATCTCTTTTTTGTGTGTTTCTTCGCAATTTCTTCCCATTTTACTATTACTAAGTAGAATTAAAAACATAATCACTTGAGTTAATGGTGCAGTATTAAACTATATTTTTATGTAATTAAATATATTTTGTATATAATAAGCTCAAAGGAAATGCAGATTATTTTCAGATTAGTCTGTGATTAATTTTGGAAATTCACAACTATTCACTTTTGGCTGTATGTCCTGACATTTTCTCCTTTCTCTAATATACTAAAGTCTTGTTTCAGTCCTTTCAAATCCCTTTCTAAGTAAAGTCACTAATATAAACTCATAAATAATTTTATATGTATGTAATATTCCCTAAATATGTAAAATTAGATATGTAAATATGTAAAATCTCCCTGAAATTAGATTAAATCAGTGACATTTATACATATATTCATATCTAATTTATAAGATATATATATCTTTATATACAGATATAATTTATATATAATAAAAAATATTTATATATTTTATATAAGTTCAGTACTCTACATGATCTATACGTATCTTTATAAATATATATTTACACATATGTGTGTCTATATACATATATACATATGTGTAGGTGTGTGTGTATATATGTGTATATGTGTATATATACATATTTTTTTTCATGTAAATGATTTTCTGTGTTTGTGGTCAGAGTAGGTTCAGATTTATTTTTATCCCTCTGTAATCTTAGGCAATGGGAGGTTAGATGTCCTTTTCCCAAATTTTGTTTTAGGTAAGGGTAAAGTTCGAAGTGGTCAGAGGAAAGCAATCCCCGTGTGGAACATTACTACATTACAATGTTGACTCAGGGACACTTCCCTTGCACTAAATTCCTAATCTAGGCAGGTATGTTTGTCTGAGTCTTTTCCATAATCTGGTTCATTCACTCAGTATTACCTTAACAAATGTATCGTAAGAACCTGTGTTTACTACCTGAGTCTTACTTGGTGAATCATCACTGTGCTGGTTTTCTAACCAAGACATTGGGGAGATTTCTGAGTCAGTAGCATAGCTAGAGCTAGAAATCATGATTCCTACACCTGCTTGGAGTCTAGTTATCCTG